TGTACGATTTAATAAAATTAAATAAGTTTAAGCACAAATATGTGACTGATCACATTTTAGCAGGCAAAGAACGTACTGTGCTGAGAATTCCGCCGTACCATCCCCATTTAAACCCCATTGAACTTATTTGAGGAGATGTAAAACAATGGGTTGCAAGCAAGAACACAACATTTAAAATTAAGGACGTCGAACATCTGTGTCTCCAGAGATTCGAAGAAATTGGGTAAGAGGAATGGGATAATGTTTGTCAATATGTGGGAAAACTAGAACAAATTTATTATGAACAAGAAGGCATAATCGAAGACGCTACTGAACGTATTAAAATTAAAGATAATGGAGTGAACAGCAGCAGCGGTAGTGATGAATCGAGTGATATGACAGAAGGCGAAGGTCTGTGAGGAGTGGAACAATTGGAAGAGGACCGAAGATTTGTGAAGAAGATAAAATTATCTAATAATCTCTCTAGTGTTAATTTTCTAGTGCTGTGTAGTGTAGTGAAATCGACTTCCCTGTGTTACATAACGTGGTGATATTTTATTTGGAGTGTACTGTACGCGGCCTGCTGATATCCCTACCAGCAAACTTCTGGTAAGTGACTCGCTCCGAGGTTCCCATTCACAAAGTTCAGAGGCCAAAAACGCTGGTACGCAGTATACATAAGGAAATAAGAATTCTGCTCTTACGTTTCTGCAGGGAATCATTGATTGAATAGGGCCATGGCGTCTTTCTTTCCTTGTCACAATTTTTCTTCTTGTGAAATTTATTTCTTATGATCTTTAGATATTGAACCTACAGTTTTGCTTACAGATTTTCTTTTCCGTCACCAGACAACACAAAGTGTTTAAATCTTGTATAGTTGAACATGTTATATCCGTCTTAGTGTGCATTTCTGCTACAAGAATTTACTACTAAAGTAAAATAAACTTGAAAGCATAACATTAGGCCTATTATGTTATCTGTATATTCTTAGTGTTAAGGAAATCAAAATATTTTTACCTTTAATATATAATTTGAAAATATTTCTAAGTTTATGTTGGCCTAGGTATTAACAATTTATCAATAAGAATGAAATTTATGTTGAAAATACCAGTATGATAGAAGAAATTTTTTACAGAACTTCAAGTAAACAATAATATTTATATTTCTGATTTGGAATATTAAATATTTTTAAACAGAGTTCAGATTAACTTCAGTTTAACCTACAATTTATAGCGTATGCTATAATAGAAATATGAAAACTTAATTCTGTAGCAGGAACTGTACTTATGGAAATCAAACCGTTTTGAGTAAGCGAGTAGGGCAATGTAATTTATTCAGTGTTTTATATGGCGCAAGGCACTAGTGTTAAAACGCTATGAAACCCATAACTCAGTATTGTAAGGACAAAAATGTTTCTTTATGTCTCATTTAACTACACTTTGTAAACTTCACCATTTATTTAGCGTCAGATTAAGAGTACACAGTAACGTTCTTGTCCGGAATTTATTTCGGGAAAATATTAAGGTCTCCATGCAGAATAGCCTGTCGCGAAACCGAGATTCGAACCGGGTACCTGTTGAATGAAATGCAAGCATTCCATGGCAGAACTATGGCTACTCGGCGCAAGGCCATGAGGAAGTAGGACTCTATCAAATTATAAATAATTTAAAATAAATAAGTTAATGTATACACCAGTGAGTGCAAACAATAGTACAAATGTGTCTTTTAGTGGCGTGCACGTGTTAGGAACGTCATCCTTGTTATTTTTCATGCCTCATTGGCCTTGAAGTTTATTTTTCACTTACAAATCTGCTGTTGGGAAGCTAATCGTACTACATTTATCACACTGCGCTCAGAAACTGTTTTCATTTGTACCTCTTAAAAAATTTATGGCAGCGAAAAATATTTCAAATAATTTTATTCAGAGTAGGTCGGGATTTTATACCTTGATTTATTAAACTTTCTTACGAAGAGCCATTTTCGATAAATCAATAAAATTTGATTTAAACTTCATGGAGATTATGATATAAGGGTTACACTAGATTGATATGAATCAAGATTAAATTTGCATAGGCCACTGTTAGTATAAACTATAATACGAAATTTAATCTAAGTCCGTTCATTAAAATAATATTAAGCACTGAATTTCAAGTTGATAGTTTATCATACCATTATTAAGAAATTTTTAATTATGAACCGTGAAGGTCAATAAAGATAATAAAATTTTGCAACAGACGAAGACAAGAAGAGGGTGGCAATGTTGTGGGTCTTGTACTTTTTAAGAAAAGTTCAAACATTTCGGTATTCGAATATTTGTATTACAATACCAAGAGACTCATCTTTCGTATGTTTTATTTTCAATTCACAGAATGATCAGGTGTGATTACATCGCTGCAATGTATTACCTTGGTCCAGTTTACATCCTATGCTGTTGTCGCATCTAACTGAATAGCCCTCATAAATTGATAGACTTAATGGCGTGTTGGCTTTTTAAATTGCAAATTTTAAAGCTAAGAAATCACAGACTTGTATAATAGGTCTTGGTCACTTCCTTCACAGCTGCAAACATTTACATTTTATTTATATTTACGATAATCTAGCCCCGAAACGAAATAATGAGATGTAAATTAAGCAGATATGTAAAATAACTATAATTGATTAATTTCTGCAAGAATGTTCAGCTGTTAGCATGTAATACGATATACAGCTGAGTGTAAATAATCGATAAAATTAATTATACAACTCGATTTCGTTATGAAAATCTTAAACTGGAGATGAATCCGTTTAAAATATTTATCTACAAAGGACAACACAGAAGAACGTGAACAAATATCTAGACCGAATCACAAGCAAATCAACGTATCTGAGTTGTCAAATATCGCAGACGTCTTTTGACCACGAGAATCAATATTACTATTTACAGGTCGGAAATCCTAAACCTGATATATTTCAAATTACACAATTTGTGAAAGATTATTTCTGAACTTGCAATCTTCGGGTGTCTTCGTGATTCGACACCAGTAACCGATTTCCCACACTTCCTCAGAGGTTGAATTCAATAAGAAAATTTTAATGTAGCTGTTACACCAGAGGAACATGGTTAATTTAATTCATCTGGTTTCCTTCTCTGACTGAATCCAGTCTCGACTGACCCACTTGCCTCGCGCAGAGCTCCGACCATCTGAGCCGAGCTAGGACGGCGTTCGGCTGAGTTCGGGATCTGAGTGAACAGGGGAAGAAATGGAATCACCTTGCAATGTACCTACACTGCGTTAGTTATATACATGTGTGGTGGTGAGTAGCGGTATACTGTGCGCCAAGTTGTCCATCAGCATCTAAAATCGTTTAAAATGTCGTTATTATCCAAAAAAGAAAAACATTCAAAATTGTTTGACTATTAGGCAAGTATGAACCTTAAAACGAGAGGGAAATACAAATTAAGTCGGAATCATTAGTTCCATTTTCAGTAATGTTGGACGAAAATTTCTCATCGGGTTGAGAAAATAATTAACTCAGAAAAAGCATCAATGTTGTCAGCCCTGAAAAAGGAGGCAGTGTCTGTGTATGCCAAATGCAACTTTTAGCCTTCGGACCAATTTTAAGGAAACATGCCATTGGGCGCTACCCCAACCTCTACATTTTAATTTCTTACAGTCTGTAATAAGAACGTGGTGAACGCGCGAACACGTGTATATGGATCAACATTAGCACCATCTATTCGAGAATTTTGAATTTATTCATGGTAACAGGCCGATTTTGCAACTTTAATTAAGATAAGTTTGGTGAAATGTAAAAATACAACATGACGGCCATGCTAAAATTATGTTTAGCTGTCAGTATAACAGTGATAAGCACTGAACCATCCGAAGTCTTGCTACGCTGCGAAACTCTGAGGTTATATCCGACAAATTTCCCATTACATTCCATTGCTGGACATAAGAATTTAATTCTAATTACCTGAAATATTAACAGAAAATCTGCATGGTTAAAAGTCACGCGCAGTAGGAAACTACACGTTAAGAAAATGGTTGTCTTCTGGGTTGCTGCGCTCTGTGGTCTGGTAAACATTTATACCTCTAAAACTTCGATAAATTTCTACCAGACTACACGGCGCTAAAACCCAGAAGACAGCCATCTTCGGACTCACCGTCGCGAAAACCTTAAATCGTATTTATTATACATCGAACTCTAGCCACGAAAACACCGACAAAACTTTACTCTGTTTATGTTTGGGAGCCGCGTGTTTCTCTTGCAGTGGAGATTCTAGTAGTCTGAGGAAGAAAGTACGTGAGTCACACACTATACATGCAAAGAATGAGCCATGAAGGTCACAAGTATTGACGTTAAGAAAATCTTTCCCCCGTTCAGGTAAAAACAGTTGATTCCAAGGTTAGAAAGAGATCTAGGGGTCCAGGTATGAGAACAAAGACAATATAAACAAAAGAAAAAACTTTCATACCCCAATTTAATTTATAATGTTAAAGCCAGTACGTATGGCACTCTTTAGTGTGTACAGCAGGCAGAATATTTTTATTTTTAAACATGTGGGTTTAGTCGTGTTTGAAGAGTTCTGACCACGATGGTGTTATAAAACACATCGTTTAGAGCAGTGGTATTCAACCTTTTTTGTTCGCGTACCCCCAGATATAGTTTCTCTTCAACTTTGTACCCCCAAAGTTGTTGGTGTATAATTCAAGTTATACATAGTATATAATCTACATCTAAAATAAATTAAATAAATTACATTACTGATTATTCAATGTTTATCATAAAATAATATATTTTTTTTAAATTTCACGTACCCCCTAAGATGTCTTCGCGTACCCCCAGATATAATTTCTCTTCAACTTACACCACTGGTTTAGAGAACTGAATCTGCCCAATGATCTGGATTAGCTCTTCACCATACCTGAAGACGAGGGCAGATCCAGTTCCCGAAATGTTGTGTGTTTTATGACATCAGGCGATGGACAAGGTCCAGAAACCCAGTAATCCAGAATGTGGCTTTTGCTGGATGCTACAGAAGTTTAAGACATGACCTTGGCATGACATCTCCCGTTGCACTGTTGTAGAGCAGGTATGCGGAAGGCAGGGAACTACGCAGTATTGCCGCATTTCTTTATTGGCTCTGTCGTCAGTGCACTACGTCCCAGGTTGTAACTCAGGTGGCAAGGGACTGGGTATGCACCCCGCATGAACAAATTCAACCTGATCAAAGTCCACTTCGATTTAAGATGGACAAATACCGTCACAGTGGCAGAAATGTTTCTTAATTATTCAGATTCCAGTTCTAAAACTATAATAGATACTCGCATGTAGGTCTGTTCATCAAAGCCTATGAGACTGGGTCCGGTGAAAACCGACATGTAGTCTTGTAGGAGGTCAAGGTTTCCGAAAAAAAAACATGCTGTCTCTTTCTTCGGAGGGAGAAACTTCTACCAAGTGAAATTCTGTCGTACGAACATCTGTGTACTAGCTCAGAACGCTAATTTATCAGCTACATTAGGCCAAATTTACTCAGATGGCATCAGTATTACATTAAAATCACAAGTCTTATGACCACAAATCCGTGTCTTCATCTCCAGCGTAGAAATAACTACCTTGAAGATGGTGATGATAATTCCTTCGAAACTTCGGTAACCACCTACAAGTCTATACGGCGTTAATATCCAGAAGAGAACAATGCATATTGATGAAGTGGTTTCTGTTGTAACGTTGTTTTACCGTCCTCTCTCTCTCTCGCTCTCTCACTCTCTCTCTCTTAGCACCGAGTTGCTCAAGAGCGATTACCACACCTTTGGTTTGCTATGAAAGTTTTAGATCCCAAATAACTCCTACTTCATAGTTAGGAGACACCCTGTTCGAATCTTGGATAGCAGTAGACCGGGAAACTTACTGAGGTTTTTCGTGGTTTTCTTTAGTCTTTAGTTCAGGCAAACACAGGTATAGTGTATGAGATTTGAGATTCTCGCTACAGTGGAGATGTATATGTCTTCTGGGCTATAATGCTATGTGAACTTACGGTATCCCTAAAGATGGAGGCTCTATTTCCTCCGAAACGTGAGATATATATGTATCTGAACGTCTACACGGCGTCACTACCCAGAACAGCATCAGGCAGTGTTTTGAAACAATCTATGGATTCCTCCTTTATTCTTTCCAATTCTCAGGCATTCGTTATTTCTCATTTGACGCTACAGGTCTTTAACGCATGCATTTGAAAGGGTGTCCAATTAAACCAAGAAAAAACACTGTCAAAAAACGTCAGTCCTATGTCTATTATTGTTCCTTAGACCAAACATAAGTCTTCCCTTCAGTGACAAATAAATAATCCTTACAGCTCGAACGATATTAAGTCATATCCTGACAAAAGCCATTGGTTATCTATCCTGAGAGAGTGCTGGACGGAATGACGAGGGTTCATAGCGACACGTACTGTTTAAAGTGTATCCGTTTCTCGCTACATAACCATTCGCCATGGTTGGGATGTGCTCCAGAACAGCGTTAGAATTAATCAATGCAATGCATCTCATTTTTATGTTATTTAACACAAATCAAGTTATATCACACTGGTAAATACGATGTAGGTTTAAATTCTCCCTTATTAAATTCACGACAAACAATTCAGTTAAATGGCATTGAGCGTGACTAGTAGCCAAGTTTAAATTACGCTGAATTGAATCCCATTATCAGCTGTCCTGTTTCTAGGCTCCCCAAATGGCGTAACAATAGTTCCCTAAAATGGGACAAGACCATGTCAATCCTTATTCCAAGCGGAAATGAAATCATTCAGAAAAGTGTCTGGCTATGTATTGGACAGTTGGTAGTCGAGTCCCGGCAGAGGCAATAATTATTATATTCGTCACTACTTCCAAATCGGCTCTACAGTCCACGACTGTAATCCTGAGACTTGCAAGGAATGCAGGGAATCCGTAGCGTTAAAAGCAGACGCTATCTTTCCCCCCTTCCTCCCCCGCAAGTCTCAAGATTACAGTCGTGGACTGTAGAACTCACTTAGCCAATCGACACGCAGAGGCACACTTTCTTTCTCTGGGAGTCTAAGACTGATCTGTACAACCCAGCGACCTGCAATATTTATTGTCTACTACCCACCACTTTTCAAATTTATCACAAATTTAAAAAGTGTATCGATATTTTATTTCTTCGATATCGATATTTACTCCAAGATAAGTGGTTAGGTTCTACATCACTAGGACTCGGTCTGCGAAGCCTCGTTTATAAAACTGAGTGCACTGCGTGGTGGTTAGGATTACATCAATGAATTCTTCCTTCCCATAATGTTTGGATCCTTAACCCATGTACCTGAACGTCTTTAGGTTTGCACACGGAAAACTTTCTCACTTCAAGGTCTAATGTCAATGCCTTTCTCTTCCCAGTCGGGAGAGCAATGGCCGACTTTAACCATCCTCAGTGTTGGGACGACAAGCCCTTTTGTAATGTCTGGTGGATTGAACCGCCGACATTGTATTGAGCTTCCACTTGTGAAAACAACTTCGGGAATTGATTGTATAAAACAAGTTAAAAGCATTCACTGATTTCGACCTGCGTGCGAAGTCAAACGTCGGGATTTCAAATATACTTTACAACCCCCACCCGCCTTTAGTGTAATGTAGTCGTTAGCAATACTTCGTACTTTAAAAGTTCACGGTTGGAATATTGGCCTTCAGACTAGCTATATTAATTAATTTATTCATACTTATCAATCCGTGGTATTACCTTGAATTAGATAAAGTTTACATGGAAGGACTGAGGAAAACAAATCATCAGGGTACATTGCTTCCCATTCCATATTCGAGCCTTGAACAGCAGTATAAATATGGCAGCCTTCAATTTGTGTGCCGTGTAGTCTTGTAGTTTATCAACGTTTCAGAGATGCGTAGCTACCGCCTTGAAGATGGCAGAGGCATATTGTCATTATTTCATGTTATTTTTATCTATCTGTTTTAGCATTATTGCAATTCATTGACGCAGTTTCTTTAATAATTGAGTTTATGCGTCAGTCCATTATTACTTGGAGCCATTTTCTTTTCTAAAACTAAGGAAAGAAAAGACTTGTGTAACCTTGATCGTGTTTATGTGGATCTTTCTTCCTAAATTTTGATTAAATCATCCGATTTTGATAAAATTTATTACAATCGCTATGCCATTGAATGTTATGTATTGTAACTTTTCAATTGTCCTACATAAATAACTCAAAGATGATGTCGTATATACGTTCGAAGTGGAGATAAATCTAGTATCATTTTTACAGGTTTCAGAAACAGACAAAAATAAACCTCTGTTACGTTCATTTTATTTTATTTCTATAGACTATGAAGTAATAACATGAAATCGTAAAATTTAACTTATATTTTTCACAGCCACAAATGGCAGACGTTCTGTGGTGTCACAAACCACAAACACAGGTGAATATACTCACTAACTATTGGTTAAATGTCATGTATTCATTTAAATAATCTGTCCAGCTATTTGATCGTCGGAAAGTATGTCTATGTCTGCCATCCTTTATTCTGTAAGTCGTATTTTTAAGATGGCTGTCTTCTGAGCTGTAGCACCGTGTAGTCTGGTAGAAGTTTACCAACGTTTCGGATGTTGTTGCTGCCTCCATCATCAGGGCCATTCTCCAATTAAGCCAGAAGACCTTCATAATCGCCACCTCGAGAAAACGATCGACTTCTCAATGTCAGTCATTGCCATTTATCAGGAAAATTTAATAATTTTTTTTCAAATAAATTGTTCTGAAATGTGTTAGCTACACTCTAAACTACGTCAGTAATTTCTTCCTAAAATTTATAATTCGTAATTTACTTAATAGGCCTATATTATTTTATAACAACAAATGTTATCTGTGTTAACTTCTTCATGTTACTATTTCCGTCATTATATTTACAATGCCGTCGCTAATTGGTGGACTGCCTTGTGACGAACTTGATGTTTTATCAAAACAAAACGTCAGAGCTGGCCACAATATTTATCTTACGGGTTCCCCCGTCAAGAATAGTCTTTGGCCA